GGTCCTTTATCTCTGTCTGAAGCTCTCTACTTGGTCCTATATCTCTGTCTGAAGCTCTCTACTTGGTCCTGTATCTCTGTCTGAAGCTCTCTACTTGGTCCTATATCTCTGTCTGAAGCTCTCTACTGGGTCCTATATCTCTGTCTGAAGCTCTCTACTTGGTCCTATATCTCTGTCGGAAGCTCTGTACTTGGTCCTATATCTCTGTCTGAAGCTCTCTACTCGGTCATATATTTCTGTCTGAAGAACACTTTTTAAAGTCTGCTGATATTTATTTTTTCATTGTGGATGCAGGTGTTTAGAATATCAGCTGGTCGTATTAATGTCGGTAAATAAATAATAACGACCTCAGTGGATAACAGAAATTATCTTGGTCTTGCTCCCTGACCATTTTATATCTAGACTTTTGTTGTTTTCGTGTCAGACAGGATATTATATATGTGGATTCTTTTTTCTGTTCCTATAAAGGTGCTCCAAAATTGCATGAGTAAGCGTTTGTATTCTTCATTCCATATAGTAAGTCAAAGATTGGTTAAAAGGAAGAAAAAAGTCTTGACTTTGTATCATAATTCTTCTTGTCTAAATGTTCTTGTTACCAAGTTAGACCACAAACGTCTTATTGAACTAACACTAACTAGACTCACTTCAAAATTCCTACATTTTGAAGCGGAATTTGAAGTGTCTGTGGTTTCTATATTTGTTATACTGGACAGACCCGAGGCGGATGTCTGTGTTAGACTGACCAGCCTCAGGTATCTTGTCAATCTTACCCTCGTCAGCTCTATATGAATATTTACCACTCTGGCTAACCCATGTAGTCTGTTATTGATCTCAGACAACTATGTGTTGTCGACATCCCGTCAGTTGGTATCTGTCTAAATACAGGCAACGGTGGGAGAAACGCTGTATTCTACACTGACACGTTTAACGCATCAATGTGTGAAATCAGTATAATCAAGATGTCACACGAAAATACAGTGTCAGTCCTTCAAATGATCACGTCATATGATTTCCAGTATGTAACATGTGTAATAATTAAGCAATGAAGGTTTTAGCAAATGTTGCTATAGTCTCACAATTACATTTGCCTTGATTTGATTTAAACATATTTTATTGCAAATAACAGATGTTGCAAACGAATTGGGCACAAATTTTGCCAACTTATTGAAGTCCTCTTCGACAAAAATAAATTGATTACAATACATATCACGCAACGTTAGAGCTACTTAAATATACATATGACAAGAAAGAATTGTAGGTAAGAGAGGGGACAAAGAAGAGATCGAGATGTCTTTCGAAAAAAAAGCTTACTTAAGTTGTATTGCATAGTATAATTAGTTTTCATCTAGATTGTGAGCAATGTGAGAGTTCATTTTCCACGAAGACGGAGCTTGTGATAAACTTGGTGGAAAATGAAAAAATGAAGTTTGCCTTCTCAATGCATTGCAATTGAAGGATGCAGAACCAAATGTAAATTGGACACTGTGATGTCGCAATGTCTACAATGATAATACTGATTGGGATTATGACGTCATAATTTTCATCAACAATTTGGTGCCGTAATGGTGTTTCCTGAAATTGAAGCAAACGCAGACAATTTAGGGTCGATAACGGCATAATTTCTCTGGCATTGCTAAGGTGTCAGAGTTTTCCCTAGTGTGATGAATAGAATATCATATTCGTTTCCATGAAATTTATTTAAGTGTTTTTCTGAGAATATTTAGCATTTACACGCCCACTTTACTAAACTAAAGTCGCATTTTATATATCGTATCAAATAAAAATGATTTTTTTTATTCACTGATATATATCCTAGTTTTAATTGTAACACATATGTATTTTCAATTGCAAATTTCACAAATCATAAAAACGGTGCTGATGAAAACAATACATCAATCGGAATAAAGTTAGTATCAACTATCGTGATCAGTTAATTGCATATTGTTATATAGGAGTAGTTAACAGTAGTATATATTTTATTAGTTCCAACGATGTACATTGTAATGGTACTTATAGGAAAATTACGTGTTTCGTTTTGTACGTTAGGGTCCGGTGTCCGGAGTCTCCGCCACCGGACCCAAATTTAGTTCTCTTTCACGCGCACTGCAAATGGCGATTGACACGCACGGTAGTCTGTCGTCTGGTAATGTTGGGTTGTTTGACAATGTAAATATGTGAATAACGACTGTATATACATGTAGTTTTGGTATATAGTAAATACGTTAACTGTGTGATGGTGTCGTGGTTATCTGTTGGTTTAGCAGAAACGGTGTATTTCGACCGTAACAATATGTAAACTAATTTTAACATATTCGTGTCCTGATCAGATATTTATGTATGCAGACCAACATTGATATTAATATCTTGATGTGATTTTAGTATTAATCATCGCTTCAAATGAATTTTCTGTCTATTCAGTATATAGAGCTATACATGACCCATATTTTCTCGGACTTACACTTTCACTCTGATTTAGGTTAGATAGTCTCATAGAATGAATTGGATATTAAAGACCTTTTCTAACGATGGATTACAATGTACCTCTATTTTTCAACAAATTCATCATTTCTCTGCTTCAAAAGTAAAAGAGTTAATTATGGCTAGTTATTCCTGTAGGTAGCAAAGACGTTTTGTACTTTCAATAGATAAAACCACTGACAGAAAGGTTTTTACTCATTCACCCCTGAAGACACATTTGAACTCTTCCAATTCAAAAGTTGGTATAGTTCATTATGAAATTTCAGGGATGAATGAATTAAGATAAATCCTGGTCTAAGGACAGGATGGTTTCAGACTTATATGTAGGTATGCTGTCTAGTTCAACATTAAGACAAAGTTGTCGGAATCGGTCCGTGTCTGAATTCTCTCTAAATGGAGTATTGCCACTGTTTCTCTCGTTCGAAATATTTCCTGTCGTCGCTTTGGTTAAATAACATGCTGTATACATTCATAATTGTGCTGTTGACTGTGAAGTGAAGTCAAATCATTCCACGATGATCAAACACTTACAGCTAACAATGTAACGTTCCACTGCTCGTGTGTTTAGAAAACAAAGTAAAAAATCGTTTGTATTTCCCGCTTGTAATGTCCAATTCCATAAGAATACTCAAGGATTATTTAACATCTGTTCCTCTAAAAATCACAATCACAATGTTTATGTTGCGTTAATGTCTCTGTAATTGTGTATGTAATCGATAAACTGACTTTGGAGAGTTACAGCAGCTACTCAGCGCTAAAATAGAGTGTTCATTTCTGCCCACATATATCATAGATTACTTTTTATCTAACCCTTCATAAAACTGTCTCCCGTCTTAGCTATAATACATTTTTGTTAATACATTCCTTACTTAGATTTCCTTTTGTTTCAATCGGACACATGATCATTAAGAAATCAAGATTAATACTATTGTTTTGAATCAATTTTGGATTTATATGAGAACTATATTTTGTCGGGAATTGCCATACTTCAGCCATGTGTCTAAAAGGGAGACGATATTCATACGTCACAATGCACACAGACGCCGGAGTTAAAATAATATTGGGATAAGAGAGTAAAACAATAATCCCCGTTATTAGGTAATGACATACGAATCTCAACCCTCAGGGTAAGATTTCTCAATCTCAACCCTCGGGTAAGATTTCTCAATCTCAACCCTCGGGTAAGATTTCTCAATCTCAACCCTCAGTGTAAGATTCCTCAATCTCAAACCCTCGGGTAAGATTCCTCAATCTCAAACCCTCGGGTAAGATTCCTCAATCTCCACCCACAGGGAAAGATTCCGTAATCCCAACCCTCGGGGAAAGATTCCTCGATATCAAACCCTCGAGTAAGATTCTTCAATCTCAAACCCCTAGAAAATATTCTTGAATCTCAAACCCTCGGTAAACCTCGGCTTTAAGCAATCGATAATTTTATCTCAAAGGTAGGTATTTCTTGGTCCTAGCACAAATTGGGAAATATTTAATTCATAAACATTTCACCATTATACCAGTAATTTAATTGATACACGTAGCTTGTCGGTGTTAATATATAGTATTATGTCTTTAACTCATTAATACTGTTGTTCCACACGAAACTCCCATCAGATATTTACCATTACAAATCCAGCTCAATTAACCATTCGGTGTCCTTTTAAATGCTTTTTATTCATTTAAGTTGTTCTGCAGATGTTCGTCATGGGAATCTTGTAGCAGCAAATGGCTTTCCGACAACAAAACATGAAAAATGAAAGCCTCCTTCCTGTGATAATTTAATTTATTTTCAAATACCTAGCTCCAATTTCTAAGAGTCTCTGCCAATAATTAATGTATATTTTCTTGCAGGTTTACAGACGCCACCGGTTTTTTCAAGACAAGAGGGACGAATTCGAGAAGCGACTGAAAATGGGAAAATAATATAAGGCAATATTTTGGTGAAAATACAGGTACGCTGCTATCGATCTGTGTATACTGGTGTACGGTGGCTGACATTTCCTGGACGTCTTTACGGAAGCTGGAGGGATGAGAAGGGATGGCGGTTTCGTATCGCTCTCGTCTTCTGTGGGGCGTTGTTTTGATTCTGTTCTACAAAATCTACCTGTTAAATTGCATTATAACATTCCACGGAAATGACACAGGTAAACTCTCGCGCTCTGCCGAGTCAGCAAATATCAAAGGAGATATTATTCTTGGGGGGTTGTTCCCTGTGCATCAGAAGGGAGACGATGGCGCCGAATGTGGCGCAATTAACCTACAGCGGGGAGTACAGCGCCTCGAGGCGATGCTTTTCACTGTCGATCGCATCAACTCAGACGAGGAAGTTCTTCCCGGAATTATACTGGGGGCCGAGGTTTTTGACACTTGTTCAAGAGGAACGTATGCCCTTGAAAGGTCACTCGAGTTCATACGAGCATCGTTCGCCAATCTGGATAGCGCTGATTTCAAGTGTGACGATGGTTCAATAGCAAAGGCGAATGCAACGCCACGTGCGATCGCGGGGGTCATAGGTGGCTCTTACAGCAGTGTGTCCATACAGGTCGCTAACCTTTTACGTTTATTCAAACTTCCTCAGATCAGTTATGCGTCAACTAGCGCGGACCTTAGTGATAAAAAGCGCTACGATTATTTCGTGAGGACAGTTCCGCCTGATGGCTTCCAGGCTAAGGCCATGGCAGACATTGTCCAGTTGTTTAACTGGACGTACGTGTCCACGGTGGCCTCAGAGGGCGATTATGGGCAATCTGGAATAGAATCTTTCCAAAACGAGGCTAGATCCAGGAATATATGTATTTCTATTTCAATTAAAATAATTTCAAATTCTAATCAAGATACGTTCGACACAGCTATAGAGGATTTAGATAGTAAGAAAAACGCCATGATTGTTGTGTTGTTTCTTCGCGTGGAAGACGCCCGTAATTTATTAATTGCAGCGAAGAGAAAACAACTCTATAATCGTTTTACTTGGATTGCGAGTGATGGTTGGGGCATGCAAGACAAACCAGTGTTAGGGAACGAGGACATGGCGGAGGGGGCAATGACTATAGAGCTCGATTCCACTTTAATGCCGGAATTCGATACTTATTTTTTGAAATTAAAACCAGGTACAAATAAAAGAAACCCATGGTTCAAGGAATACTGGGAAACGGTCCATGAGTGTAAGTTTCACGGAAAAAGTGACCTTCCCATCACGGATCAAGTGGTCAAGAATTGTACTGGTCAAGAGAAAAAACTCGAAGCTTACCAACAAGAGACTAAGGTCCAGTTTATATATAACGCTGTCTACGCTATGGCTCGCTCTCTGGACCGGATGCAGAGAGACGTGTGTCCAAGTACAACGAAACTCTGTGAAAATATGGAAAAAATCGACGGGGAGCGACTTCTTAAAGATTACATCCTCAATACATCATTTAGCGGTAAGTAACGCATGTGCAGCGCAATACATCAATCATTCAGTAGCAAATATGTCATAAAAACTTCATTCAGTGGAAACACACCCTTGTTTAGTCATCAGTGGTAGGAAAGATGTCATTCTATTGAAATAATTGCTATGCTGTAATATTATTTTATATAAAACTATCACGTTCGTTGTAAATAATTGACAGCGGAATGTCATGATGTAAGTATTGACCATACATTTCGAAAATATAGTGAACAACTGACATTACTATATCCGGCACCAAAATACTGAAACCACACTTGGACAATCCGTTTTTCAAAAAGGAACTTCATCAGCAGACTTGTTTCATATATGTTTATCGTCTGTTTTGCTGCCATGAACAGAGTAATATAAAGCCGGTGCGGTAGGTTGGTTTGACTACGCAATTGTTGGCTGGCAATAGTTATGTTCTTTCGAAAACAGTCGTCACATATGAAAAAAACGGTCCTAAATCTAAAAGATAAAAAAAAATGCGTCCCGTTTACTGCCAATCGCTTTATCTTCGGTCGATCCTGGACTTTAATCCTTGACAACAACGAGATTCACGTAATCAAAATGACCGCACATCACAACTACTGAGGTTATCAATGCATATTTACAAATGATTTTGGTGTAAATAAACGTTTTGTAAAATTGTGTTTTTACCAATATCTGAACTTAACTATGTAACTCGATCAGGATTTATTTATCCAGATTTTTTTTCTATTATCGTGTTTTATCTTTATACAAAAGAAGAGTGTCGTACAGGATGGTCCTGATAAGCCACCGTAGTTTAAGTATCGTACAGGATGGTCCTGATAAGCCACCGTAGTTTAAGTATCGTACAGGATGGTCCTGATAAGCCACCGTAGTTTAAGTATCGTATAGGATGGTCCTGATAAGCCACCGTAGTTTAAGTATCGTACAGGATGGTCCTGATAAGCCACCGTAGTTTCAGTTTCGTACAAGATGGTCCTGATAGGCCACCGTAGTTTAGATATCGTACAGGATTGTCCTGATAGGCCACCGTAGTTTAACTGTCGTGCGGATGATCCTGATAGGCCACCGTAGTTTTAGTGTTGTTTTGATGGTCCTGATAGGCCACCGTAGTTTAAGTATCGTACAGGATGGTCCTGATAGGCCACCGTAGTTTAACTGCCGTGCGGATGGTCCTGATAGGCCACCGTAGTTTTAGTGTCGTGCGGATGGTCCTGATAGGCCACCGTAGTTTAAGTATCGTACAGGATGGTCCTGATAGGCCACCGTAGTTTTAGTGTCGTGCGGATGGTCCTGATAGGTCACCGTAGTTTAATTGCCGTGCGGATGGTCCTGATAGGCCACCGTAGTTTAACTGCCGTGCGGATGGTCCTGATAGGCCACCGTAGTTTTAGTGTCGTGCGGATGGTCCTGATAGGCCACCGTAGTTTCACTGCATATACTATTATTTTAAGATTGTCATGTTAATAACATTTCATCAGTAATTTTAAGTTGTTTCAATAAGAAGAAAAAATAGTCAAACAGTCGTTGTCAGTGTAGAATTATTTTCAATATAACTGCCAAAGAACAAAACATGAATCATTTGGTTTGTATGTCCTGTAGACGTCGGCTGTTGTAAATTTGATCAAACTGATAGCATCAGTCCGAACCAATACAAGCTGAGTGAAGTATCTACCCCCGAGCACTCTGTCCTCGTGTTTCCTTTCAAATACAACATCACAATCGCTTTGTTAAAAGAGAATTATTTGATTTGGTTTATAACGTTATTGCAAGAAATTGGTAGCGGTTGCTTGTTTAAAGATAAATGATATCGTTGTATTTTCGCTTTGTGATTACTGACCATCTCTATTTGAAGCGCGCTGTTATTGATAAATGTCGAGGCTTGTATCCAGTCAAATTGATCAGAAGAAAAAATATCTTTGATGATTTCATGATTATACTATACTCGGCTGCTTCTTGATGTAATTTTCACATATATCAAAACCGCGTTTCCGCTTTAAATGCCCCATTAGAGATTATTTTAAAGGCATTTTTATAGAATTACATATCTACATAGCTTGTAGATTCACTCTATCCTCGAAGAACATTTCACATTGTACCCTAAAGAACCCGCAGTAATCAAACCAGACTAGGTAGACTGGAATCACACTATGGCAGGGCTCTGCTCTGCTCTGACGTAAATCTTCAGGACTCAATGCAATTGTTCACTTCGTTGCCTTCCGTAATAGGGAGTCTCTCCGAAATAAAATACAGGCGCCTGATAACCAGGGTTGTTGGATAAAGTAGGTAGATAGACTCTGATCAAGTTCGGCAGAATTTCACACTTGGACAGACCAGATAATGACTTCTAAGTTCGGCAAACAGCGTGGAAGAGCACGGTTAACGGAACAGCTTTCTTTAATTTGACACACAAATCTATCTTATACTACTGTAAGGAGTGGACTAGCGTGTGTGTGGGCAGATGGGGAGTGGGAACGAGGTTTATTGTGAATCAGTTTATCTTTAAAACGTATGTGAGTCGCTTCCATTTTCATGGTAAGCTTCCTTGTCTTCATCAGGTTAATGACGTCATCCATCAAAAATAAAGATTATTGACGTTGGAAGGTATAATGCAGCAGTTTGTCAGTAATTACGAGCAGTCATTTATTTTGTTATTTGCATTTCCCTAAAATATAAAAAAGGGGGTTCAAAAAATGTTGATGGAGAAGTTATGCTGTTTGTGTTGTCTCCCCTTTATGATCGTTTTCGTGTTGTCTCCCCTTTATGATCGTTTTTGTGTTGTCTTCCCTTTGTGATCGTTTTTGTGTGGTCTCCCCTTTATGATCGTTTTTGTGTCGTCTCCCCTTTATGATCGTGTTTGTGTTGTCTTCCCTTTGTGATCGTTTTTGTGTTGTCTCCCCCTTATAATAGTTTTTGTGTTGTCTCCCTTTATGATCGTGTTTGTGTTGTCTCCCCTTTATGATCGTTTTTGTGTTGTCTCCCCTCTATGATCGTTTCTATGTTGTCTACCCTTTATGATCGTTTTTGTGTTGTCTCCCCTTTATGATCGTTTTTGTGCTGTCTCCCCTCTATGATCGTGTCTATGTTGTCTACCCTTTATGATCGTTTTTGTGTTGTCTCCCCTTTATGATCGTTTTTGTGTTGTCTCCCCTTTATGATCGTTTTTGTGTTGTCTTCCCTTTATGATCGTTTTCGTGTTGTCTCCCCTTTATGATCGTTTTTGTGTTGTCTCCCCTTTATGATCTTTTTTTTTGTTGTCTCCCCTTTATGATCGTGTTTATGTTGTCTACCCTTTATGATCGTTTTTGTGTTGTCTCCCCTTTATGATCATTTTTGTGTTGTCTCCCTTTATGATCGTGTTTGTTTTGTCTCCCCTTTATGAACGTTTTTGTGTTGTCCCCCCGTTATAATCGTTTTTGTGTTGTCCCCCCGTTATAATCGTTTTTGTGTTGTCCCCCCGGTATGATCGTTTTTGTGTTCTCTCCCCTTTATGATCGTGTTTATGTTGTCTACCCTTTATTATCGTTTTTGTGTTTTCTCCCCTTTATGATCGTTCTGTGTTGTCCCCCCGGTATGATCGTTTTTGTGTTCTCTCCCCTTTATGATCGTGTTTGAGTTGTCTCCCCTTTATGGTCGTTTTTGTGTTGTCTCACCTTTATGATCGTTTTGTGTTGTCCCCCCGTTATGGTCGTTTTTGTGTTGGCTCCCCTTTATGATCGTGTTTGTGATGTCTCCCCTTTATGATAGTTTTTGTGTTGTCTCCTCCTTTATGATCGTTTTTGGGTTGTCTTACCTTTATGATCGTTTTTTGTTGTCTCCCCTTTTTGGTTGTTTTTGTGTTGTCTCCCATTTATGATCGTTTTTTTGTTGTCTTCCCTTTATGTTAGTTTTTGTGTTGTCTCCCCATTATGATCGTTTTTGTGTTTTCTCCCCTTTATGATCGATTTGTGTTGTCTCCCCTGTATGATCATTTTTGTGTTGTCTCCCTTTATGATCGTTTTGTGTTGTCCCCCCTTTATGATCGTTCTGTGTTGTCCCCCCGGTATGATCGTTTTTTTGTTGGTTCCCCTTTTTGATCGTGTTTATGTTGTCTACCCTTTATTATCGTTTTTGTGTTGTCTCCTCCTTTATGATCGTTTTTTTGTTGTCTCCCCTTTATGGTCGTTTTTGTGTTGGCTCCCCTTTATGTTAGTTTTTGTGTTGTCTCCCTTTATGATCGTGTTTGAGTTGTCTCCCCTTTATGTTCGTGTTTGTGTTGTCTCACCTTTATGATCGTTTTCGTGTTGTCTCCCCTTTGTGATCGTTTTTGTGTTGGTTCCCCCTTATGATCATTTTTGTGTTGTCTCCCCATTATGATCGTTTTTTTGTTGTCTTCCCTTTATGATCGCTTTTGTGTTGTCTCCCCTTTATGATCGTTTTTGTGTTGTCCCCCCATTATGATCGTTTTTGTGTTGGTTCCCCTTTATGATCGTGTTTGTGTTGTCTCCCCTTTATGATCGTTTTTTTGTTGTCTTCCCTTTATGATCGTTTTTGTGTTGTCTCTCCTTTATGTTAGTTTTTGTGTTGTCTCCCCTTTATGATCGTTTTGTGTTGTCTCCCCTTTATGATCGTTTTTGTGCTGTCTCCCCTTTATGATCGTTTTTGTGTTGTCTATCGTTTTTGTGTTGTCTTCCCTTTATGATCGTTTTCGTGTTGTCTCCCCTTTATGATCGGTTTTGTGTTGTCTTCCCTTTATGATCCTTTTTGTGTTGTCTCCCCCTTTATGATCGTTTTGTGTTGGCTCCCCTTTATGTTAGTTTTTGTGTTGTCTCCCCTTTATGATCGTTTTCGCGTTGTCTCCCCTTTATGATCGTTTTTGTGTTGTCTATCGTTTTTGTGTTGTCTTCCCTTTATGATCGTTTTTGTGTTGTCTCCCCCTTATGATCGTTTTTGTGTTGTCTTCCCTTTATGATCGCTTTTGTGTTGTCTCCCCTTTAAGTTATTTTTTTTTGTTGTCTCCCC